TGCCCGTTTCCACCAGCGACCACAAAACCCTCCTCTGCATCTGGCTGGAAGCTAATTCTCCTATTGTATCAAGATCAATTCCTTTTACTTTCATATATTTATATGCACTAAGAAATTCAACAAGAATATCAAGTGATTCCTCTTGCGGTGACATTGTATATAAATTACCAATACCACATGTACAGAAAAGAGTCGACGGTTTAAAAAGACGTTTTCTGATAGATTTGTTAAGTCCAAAAGATAGATTTGTTGACAAAAAAGTAAATATGTCGATCGTCTCAGACACAGCCAAAAATTTAACTAAAATAAGGACGGCGGACGATTTGGGCGATTTTTGGCCCCATTGGAAAAATAGATTTTTTTAGCCTGAAACTTTCAGCAATTATAGAGCGCCTTGTTTTATGCCAATCCTATAAGTTTCAGATCAGTTTTGGCCTTGACCATCTAAGTACCATTTTGGGCAGTTAGGTCAATTTTGGGCGAGTCCTTTTCCAGATCTTGGCCCACACATAAAAGGACATCTATGAAGAAGTTTTGTGTATTATTCGATAGAGAATTTAATTCAGAACAACGCTGAATATAGAAGTTTTACCCAGAATGAAGAATTGGCCGAAGAAAATTTCGAATACTATTCAGTTGGGTGCGAGTGAAGGTACACTATGAGTATTATCTGGTTGGTGTACAAACTACTGTCACCTTATTTCACGGGGAACCGGAACGATTTTTTTACCAAATATGGCGCATTCAAAAAACTACAGAATTACGGGTGAATTATTACTAAAAAAGTTCATCCACTCTCTAAAAAAAAAAGGTATCCTACAAAACCAAAAAAAGGGTATCTGCGTTTGTTAATAATAAGAACCAATGTTGTATCTTAGAACACCTTTTTTGGTTTTCTAGGTTACGTTTATTACGGATATTTCTTGCTCACACGTGAAGGATCTATATCTCTCGAAAATCGGAGTATAAACTCAGAGGACATTCGCTCGAAAATGAGGGTATTTCTTCTTTTGAAGTTTCTTACATGTATTTTGCGTTCGTTTTAACCCAATCAGTCAGACTGATTTCAAATGTCTCATTTAGACGTTTCGAGAATGGAAAATCAACATTCAATCTGTTTATGTCTGAAAATCAAGGAAATACTCAAGAAAAACAGAGGTTTTTTTTTTAATTCATTTTTTTTTACATTTTTCGGGCGGAAAAACACGTCCTAAAGGACATATTGAAATATGTCATCCGAAAACCTTTAATTTATGTTTGACTTCATTGAGAGATTTACCATGGCTCTCATGTGTAGATAAACTTTCTTTTTAGAATACGTCTCCGCCAATCTGTTTCTAGGCTTAGAATATCGACATTTTCAAAGTCGAACGAATGATGTCGTTCGAGGATGTGTTGTACAATTCCTGATGTTTGAGTAAATCTTCGAATGTCTGCTTGATGTTCCTTCATTCGCACGCACTAGCTTTTCCCTTCCTGTCTCCCCATAGTAGTGTTTGTCACACTTTTTACATGATATAAGATAAATTACTTTTTTCTATCTTCGTCTTGTTCTCTCTGTAGTGGTAGAAATACACTTTTCAGCGTAAATGTCTTGCGAAGCACGATATTTACTTGAACGAGAGGTAATAGTCGCTTGCAGATCTTCGTCATACGTTTAGCAAATACTCTTAATTCATGACCATGTACGATTCTGAGAGATTTCCTCCGGCCCGAAAAATGTTCTGCGAACAGATATTGGGAATGTGCCTCATGTATCTCTGGCCTTGTAACGATGGATGTCAAAACTGTCGTAGTACTAGCCTGCTGCTGCCTGTTGAGAATGTTCTTCAGATTATAATGTGGCGAAGAAGGGTAGAGTAATGACTAGGTTTATTGCAAAAACCGACTCTCTGAAAATGTCTCAGAACCCTTCGGAATCCTATTATCCTCGTGAGGAAGCGTATCTGAATGCGTATCGAGTGCTAAGCAAAATGAGATCTTCCCGAGCTTTCCAGCGTCTTTCTAGGCTTAGTTATTCGGAAATCTCTTAGCGGATTTCGAGTCAGCCGAATCTGGGAAAGTAAAATGGCCTTATCTCAGCCAACAGATCTGCTAGAAGGCAACAATGGCGTAGACCTGTAAACAGATTCAGACAGGGCATTAAGTGCTCTAATGCTTTCAGGTTATGAATATGGTATCGGCATTCAGATGTCAGAAAGCGAAGCATGATGATATAGTGAATTGTGTTGCATGAGCGAAGCCGATGTGTGGACACTCCGTGTAGGTTATAAAACAAGTCGGATTGCTCGTCATCAAACTAATACAAACTACATTGTATAGCGAACAGTGTCGTCTTTCTTTTGAGTTCTCTCTTCAGCTCGCTCGTACTATTAACTTATGCTGTGTGCAGATTAGTACGCAACCTTCCCTATTCAACGGCGATCAAATTAATAGCGATCACCCCGCACTCACTTTGCTGGTTAATTGATGGTGCGACCATAGTATTAGTGGTCGGCTGAGAGACATCAGACATATTCGGCGTAGACGAAGACGCTTGGGTATTGCCTGTTTGATCAAATATGTCAGAGGTAGTACTAAAACGACAAGATACACACATATGTCACTATTTCTCATCTACTTAGTTTAGTATCAAGGTTCGGGTTTTGATCAATTCAAAGAATAGAATTTTTTTCAAAAAATAATTGTATACCAATCTTTAGCAAGCGCACGAAACATACAGCTTTCTCTACCTGTTCGCCAGCATCGATAACATTCGGTCGCGAGAGAATCTTTGAAAGGCCTAAAAAATTAGATTGAACTGCGAACAAACAGGTTTTTGCTAACCCTGTAAGTCCCTTTTTGAATATGCTAAAAATTGTCGGACTCGGTAGTTTTGTAGAGCGGACACTTCTTTACAAAATGTACCATTGAACTAAGCTGTAGTTATTACCTAACCAAAGGTATAAGCATTTTTCCAGGAGCTCCTCTCTGCATAAAACGAGTTTTGGTCAAAAAGTCGACTTTTCAAACGTGAAGGTGTAGAAGAAACGAAAATTGTGTTTTTCTTTTTTTTAATTTCATATTTAGAAATATCGGTTTAAAACATCAAAATAATGAGGTATTTTTGGGGTATTTTTGGGTATTTTTAAAATTGTAGTTACTATAAATATTGGTTATTATAAAAGTAAATATATATTCTGATAGCGCTTGAAATTCTCTATCATCCTATGTATTTATGTCTTGTCTTGTATTTATTTGCTAAAGAATAATTCGAGTACTACGTAGGCACCGTCCTTGACAAACCCTAAAAACTGCATGTTTTTACTATCTCTTTCGCTTTTTCAATTTCAAAAGTTCAGGATGGTAGAGAATTTCAAGCGCTATCAAAACATATAACTACTTCCGCAAAAAGCTATTTCTATAGTGATAATAAATCTGAAATAAAAACGAAACAGATAGTAAAAAGTTTAGTTAGTTAGGGTTTGTCAAGGAGGGTGCCTACGCAATACTCGCATTATTCTTTGGTAAATAAATGCAAGATAAGACATAAATACATAGGCTGATAGAGAATTTCAAGCATTATCAAAATATACATTTACTTTTTTAAAAGCTATTTCTATAGTGGTAATAAATTTCAAAAAAACTTGAAAGGATAGTAACAAAATGCAGTCATTGAGAATCTGACGATGATGGTGCTTTCATTGCACTAAACTTATTTTTCAGCCAATAAGTACGAGTTAAGACATAAATATACAGGGTGATAGAGAATTCCGAGCGCTATACGAATATGGGATTACTTTTGTAAAAGTATGTCTTTATAAGAAAAATATCTTGAAAAAACTGAAGGCAACTATTTTTTTCTAAGGGATAGCATCGTCCTATATTGATGCTGTACTGAGAAACATAGAGAGAAACATCATGAGTCATGTGCAGACGAAGGTAAAGAGAAAAAAGAATCACTCGTGATCTCAGCTAGGCAAATGAATATGTCGTAGAAAAGTCGAATTAATGACCTCCAAATCAGAAATGTGCGGTCCGCGGGCTGACCCGTCTATACCTGCGGGTGGGAAAATACTTTTTGAGATGTACGGTGATCGGCGGGGCAAGTGAGAGATCCGGCACGGCTCGATGCGGGGCAGGACTTTGAATGGAATGAGACGTGGCGGGCGGGGCACGAAATTTTTCCGCAAGACCACATTGGACCGTGACAAATGGTCACTAGATGAAGTTACCCTTTATATTCGACGGACTACGTACAAGCCGTACACAGGACAATTTGACGATGATAGGGACGAAGTGTGTGAACATCCTAACAAGAAACTATTGCTTGCAATATGTTCTCGTCGTGAGATAACGACATGTTTACAACGCAAATTGCCAAAATACACACTCCAAGACGACGACAGTGATAATCCACCACTATTTTGGAAAGAATGTGAGTGGTGCATTAATATTTGCATTGATTAATACTGATAGTAATGCTTGTGCATTAAAATTAAAAACTCAACTTAATGCATTTGTGTTTGCATTAAAAATAATTTTATGCTACTAGTTGCTAATAATACATCCCTAGGAAAGAACAAACGCAATTGCCGCCCAGTTTTTCGAAGTTGGCAAAGAATATTTTGTATTTTTGTGTTGTCGGGAGCAGTCGAGTGCGTTTCCCGTTCGGGCAGCGTAGGCATTTCCCAAACAAGAACAAACCTCAATGCGTCCACTATAAATGACATTCTTGTATTTCGATCGGCTGCCGCTCGTCCAACGAGTAGCCTGCAGATGGTGGGTTATACCAAATCTTTGTTGAAAAAAATCTTGATGTATAATTTAGAATGAATTATTAGAAAAAAACATAGTTCTATGTTTAAAAAAACTTTCACGGGGATCGGCGGGGGCGGGGACCATCAGAAAATCGACGAGGCGGGGCAGGAGATAAACTGCACTGAGCGGCCGGAGACAATTTTAGAAATTGGCCACGAGGATCACCGGGAGCGGGTAGGCGTTCACGGGATAGAAAAATATCGTGCCCCGCACATCTCTGCTCCGAATGACGAAAGCTTTAGGCTTCATAATAGAGTGATGATGCTCGTTCACTTTAATCGAACACATATTAATTGCCATACACAGCTACACAAATTGCATGAGGGTGATGGTGTAAATAAATTAAAGTGAACAAGCACCAGAATGAACATCCTCAGTATCGTTTCACAGCAAATAGACGTCGCTACACAGTCAAATTGGCCGAGTCATATTCGAATCGATTCTATTCGACGTGCTTTGTCAAACTTCATATGCGATTCGATTCACCTTCGGTCTCTGGTACACACTACCATGAATAGTCACGGAATTGTTTTACAAGCTATTATACAAACTGTAAGAATTGTGAAGGAATTTAGAGTTCTTGTAAGACGATCACACCTTACTTGGTAGATTTAATGGCATCTTTAATACGGACTAACCTTTGCATATTTCGGACAGATGAAGGCTTTTCTTCCTGCAAGTAAACAATGAAGAGACGATCTACGAAGAACGAGTGGGTCTTGACGTGCAAGCGAGTCCCTGGCATGAGAACGACTTCCTGCTCTTGCGGAAATGCCGAAAACGCAGAGACATCTTTGCCCTGTATCGCATGAACAGCAAATAAGGCGCCCGTGTCGCCTACGAATGGCTTAACGATATTGAGACTCGTGGAACAGGAATTCACACTCCACCAAGTTTTCACGTCATTGTCAACAAATTCCCAACCGATATCACCCGAAACGCCGCGCCAAACGGTATTCTCTATTGACGGTAATTTTTTGAGAGCGGTCATGAACAGTTTCAAGAAGGCGAACCACGGCTTCAGCGCATGTCGATTTTCGGCTCTAAGCTTGTCGTTGAGACAGGAAAAGAAACATGTTGACATGGAGTAAAGATAAATTGCCGCCGATTCGTCCCACGTCAGCAAAGCGGAATTTTGAATACATTTCACTTTAGCGTTCGCAACATAATCTACGACACCGGGGAC